ACTTTGCCAAGTGTTGTTTTTAATGTGTTACAGGAATATGAGGATGTATTTACAGATGAAGTACAACCGGGGCTGCTGAAAGGTCCTTGTGTGGTTTTGGTAATTGAGTGACAACCCTAGGTGAACTAATTATGTTTATGTGAGATACACATGTGATTAGTCCACAGGTACATATGTGTGAGCAACATATGCCATGAAGGTGAAAATGGCTTGAAGATATTGCAAAGCTCACACATGTGATGATGAAGGAGCTTATTACACATAAGACATGACATTGAGTCATGTGATCAAGGTGGAGAAGATCGAGACAAGACTTGGCTTGATGGACCGGTTGCAAGCGTGAAGGGCAAGTTGGAGGCTTTGGAGCGATGGACCACGTGGCGGTGAAGCTTGAGCAAGACTTGACGCCGATGGACGAAGGCAACGGTGAAAAGCAAGTGAAGTCAAGATCGATAAACCAATATGATCACGTGATGATATGAAGTGGATCATATCATTGTCGATCATGTTGGTGCATGTGTTGCATCGACATTGGAGAAGATGGAATGGAATGCGCAAGGCAAAGGTATAACCTAGGGCATTTTATTTCACCGGTCATAGGTGTGTAGAGAAGTTGATGACCGGGTTTATGATAGATGACCGTACTATCAAGAGGGGTAAACTTGTTTGCTTATCGGTCATCTAGTGCCACTCGAGTGATCTAACTTTACATCGTCGCTAGGATTGAGTGGCGTGGCAAGTTGAGTGGCTAATCCTTTGAAAAATGATTATGAAAATGCTAACACACATACACATGGTGATGTACACTTGGTGGTGTTGGCACATTTACAAAGGAGATGAAGTTGGAGTTGATGTGGATCAACTCGATGATGAAATGGAGGCGAGAAGGGTTAGGAACTCCACCGGCGGAGTGTCCGCCCGTAGAGTGCGGACAGTCCGACGGTGCCACCGGTGCCCTATACAGAAAAGACAGTGTTTCACAGAGTGCACCGGACGCTGGGGTCCTGCGTCCGGTCAGTGGCTGCAGAGAGCGTGCACGCGTCAGTCTTCGACCGGACATTGGCACTGAAAGTGACTGGACGCTGGCAGGGAGCGTCCGGTCAGGCTGATGTACGGTGACGTAGGCGATGCAGAGAAGGTAGAGAAGGATCGGACATTGATGCTGCGTCCGATTGTGATCGATCGGACATGTCCGGTCGCGACTGGTATCTTACTAGAAACGACCGGACGCTGGGGTTGCTGCGTCCGGTCACTCTTGCTGCAGCGTCCGGTCGTCATATGACCGTTGAGATCGGGCGTACTATATTTGAAGCAGGTGACACATGGCTGTCATCGAGCGACCGGACGCTGAGGTCCAGCGTCCGATCGGCCCGACTTTTGCCCAGTGAAGGGGTAACGGCTCTATTTGTTCGTGGGGCTATAAATAGATGCCATGGTCGGCCTTGGGTCGGTAGCTGAGCACACTAGAGCCTTGGTGGCTTGTGTGGTAGTGCTTGGGAGCCCTCCATCTCACATATGTTTGATAGTGATCATCCGATTGTGTGAGTGAGCGATTCTAGTGCGATTGCATCGTGAGGTTGCATCGAGTGGCACTAGGTGATCGAGTTGCAAGCTGGTGGTGCTTGTTACTCTTGGAGGTTGCCACCTCCTAGACGACTTGGTGGTGGTCTTCGTCGAAGCCCGCAAGAAGCTTGTGCGGTGCTCCGGAGAAGAGCTTTGTGAAGGGTATTGTGCTCGCCCCGCGGGAGCCGCGAAGAGCAACTCTAATTGAGCGTGTCATTGAGCAACCCTCACTTTTGGGGTAGGTTCTTGCGGTGCCCGACGTGCGGGCTTGGCGGGTGATGCCAATTAGCCGCCGAACCACCAAGTGAGCGGTCGACACAACGGGGACTAGCGTGTTGGCAAGCACATGAACCTCGGGAGAAAAATCACTGTGTCAACTTTGTTCTTCCCGTTGGTTTGCACCCTCGTTACATAAGCTTGTAATTACTTTCATATACATTGTGCTTGTATAGTTCCTCTTATAATTAGTTTGCTTGTGTAGCTCACTAGTTATCTTCTTGCTTGTGTAGCATAGAAGTAGCTCCCTTGCGTGACTAATTTGGTTAGTGTAACCTTGTTAGTCACATTACTTAGTTTGTGTAGCTAAGTATTTGTGCTCTCTAATTTGGCATTAGTTGCCTTGTTATTGAGCATTGCTAGTGAGCTTAGGTAGCTTTGTGCTTTTGCTTACTAGCATGTGTAGGAGCTCCCCATTGCTTATAGTACTAGTGGCATAGGTTTGTGTGACCTTGCTTCTAGAATTGATTAGGTGAGCTCTAGTTAGCCCGGCACCTTTGTTGCTTAATTAGTATCTTTGGAAGGTGCTAGAGAACATAGATAGAGGGGTGTAGTCTTGGCTAGACCGATAGTTTTAATTCCGCACTAGTTTCGGTTAGCCGACGCGATTAATTTTAGAAAGGACTATTCACACCCCTCTAGTCCGCCATCTCGACCCTACAGCTACTACCTAAGAGAGGGATCGAACATCAAATTGACCTTGTTCCTAGTGCTTCACTTCCAAACCGAGCTGCATACCGCACCAACCCGGAGGAAACAAAAAGAAATTTAGCAACAAGTGGAAGAATTGATGAAGAAAGGGTATGTGAAAGAGTCTTTCACCTTGTGATGTCTCTGTTCTTTTAGTTCCCAAGAAAGATGGTTCATGGAGAATATGTGTTGATTATAGAGCTATTAATAACATCACAATAAGGTATAGACATCCCATTCCTAGACTTGATGACATGCTTGATGAATTTAGTGGTGCTATCATTTTCACAAAAATTGACTTGAGAAGTGGTTATCATCAAATAAGAATGTGAGAAGGGGATGAGTGGAAAACAACTTTTAAAACTAAGTTTGGGTTGTATGAATGGTTGGTAATGACTTTTGGATTGACTAATGCACCAAATACCTTCATGAGATTGATGAATCATGTGCTTAGAGCTTTCATTGGCAAGTTTGTTGTGGTTTACTTTGATGATATATTAATTTACAGAAAATCCCTTGATGAACAAGTTGAACATATCCGAAGTGTGCTTGCTGTCCTACGTGAGCAAAAATTGTATGCTAACCTTGGCAAGTGCACATTTTGCACTGACAATGTAGTCTTTCTTGGCTTTGTTGTTTTAGGCCAAGGTTTGGAGGTGGATGAGGAAAAGATCAAAGCTGTTTGTGAGTGGCTGCCACCACAAAATGTGAGTCAAGTATGGAGCTTCCTCAGACTTGCTGGTTTCTACCAACGATTTGTGAAAGATTTTAGCACCATTGCTACTCCAATCAATGAGTTGACAAAGAAAGAAGTGCCTTTTAAATGGGGAGAAGGACAAGAGAGGCATTTGAAGTGCTAAAAATGAAGTTAACAACAGCCCCACTCCTTGCACTCTCAGATTTCTGTGAGACATTTGAAATTGAATGTGATGCCAGCAGTATAGGAATTGTGTAACACCCTCGGTGTTACGCCCTAAATAAACTACTAAATCATGTCATGAGCATCATGTTTATGTAATAATGCATGTGATATAAGGTGTTGATAAATTTCTTGGAGCCTAAAATGACCAATAAAAAATGCTAAATGGAAATTTATTCAATAACTCATGTTATGTCAAGTAGGGTGAAAAACCAATTTTTAATGAGCGAAAGTATTATAGAGCATGTGTGTGACACCTAAATAAGGTTTGAAGTACAAACTTTGTAGATGACAATGCAACTCTTGTTGTAGAAAAATAATGTGACTAGCTAGTATTTCTAATGGCTTGGAAATAGAATTTGAAGTCCAATTCAGACTTCGAAGAATTTAAGTTTGAAACCAGTGTGACAGAGCCATGTTGGTGAATTAATTCTGGAAAATCTAGCTAAAGGTCAAAGCTATGTTTTTGCTCCTTATGGTAGACTGATGTACCCTCTTTAGCATGGTTGAGGTAGTTTAGCTTCAACTGTGTTAGGTCAGTTTTTAGACGCGCTTTAAAATTCGTGCACGGCCTTTGTTGCTCTTCAGTAGTTGTACGCAGGGCTAGTTTTAAGTTTAACCTGATTCACTCAGAGAAGACCAAGTCTACACATAACATTATTTGTCTACAGCACATGACCACAACTTAACTTTTCCAACAAAGGCAAAGCTCACACAAATCAACTAAACAAACTGAACACTAACGTTAAGTCCAGTATAAAACCAAATGCCGAAACGGGCCTACACCGACAAGGAGACACTTAGTACTATCATTATATCAAGCAGCTAAACGTTCTCTCTCCACAGTAAGAGGTATGCAGCAGTGACAGAACTACAAAGCCACAACGCTAAGTTTCCAGTTCAATGATTCAGAAACAAAGTAATGATCTCCGAAATACTAAAAGTTCACGTTACACAACAAAGGCATGAAACACCGAAAAAGAAGCCCTACGCATATTAGGCCCTGTTTGGATCTCATTATCATAGTGATTATAGATAGTGAAATAGAATCCGAATTCTAAATTAAAAAAAAACGGTGTTTGGATCTCATTCTTACAGTGATAATTTCCTTCGCATTGTGAGAATCACCAAATTGCAAGGTTTGGGTAGACATTTGGATTCCAGAATCTCATTGCCAATCTCATTCTACAGTCTAAGTGGATGGATTTCAATCTCATTTTTTAGGAGATCCAAACAGAGTCTAATATTTTACCTCAATAATTTCTCAATGAAGTACTAAGCAAAATTAAATAGCACAGAATTTTTTTTCCAGACAATTTGATCACACACATAACATGTCACAAGATTGTGAACTGCTACATAATTAGTTTAAATCAGAGCAAGACATACCAAACAATCAAGCACATTCGATTAAGTTGAAAACAAAGGCACTTGAGCCTCGCGCATCAATCCTCAAGATTAGAGTATTAAGAGAGAGAGAAAACAGGACATGATTCATGGTTCCAATGGAAAACCAGATAAACTACACTAGTTAGCATCATTCACACCTGTTTCATGCCCCAGGACAGCCGTCATGTATCAGCTGCCATTGCTGACCGCATCCATAGCAAAACTCATACCCGCACCTGCACGATCGAATAAGACAAGGACAATGTACTAATGAAATACAAAAGGTTGACTGAGGTCACGACGACGGCAATCAGATTGGTTAGTTTTCCACAGTGTAAACAAGAAGCAATTTTTACCTGCAGGTAATGTGCAGGCAGCCACTGGACTTCTCGACATAGAACCTGCAGCGCGGGCAACGCTTCCAGTTGCCCTCCCGGGCGGCCTTCACAAGCAGCAGGTCCTCCCGCGCGCGCTCCCCCTCACCGAGCCGCGCAAACTCCTCACAGGTCACGCCGGCGTGCCACGGCACCCCGCACCGCGCGCAGAAGAGCCGCCGGCACCCGTGGCACTCGGACTGGGTCACGCACTCCTCGCCGTCGTCGTCGGCCACCATCATCTCAGAGCAGTCCGGGAACGGGCAGTAGGTGCGGCGCGCGCCGAGGAACAGGGACTCGCAGAGCTTGGCGCACCAGCGCTCGAAGACCTCGGAGGGGAGCGCGCCGCGGCAGAGCTCCGGATCGAGCGCGGCAGCGCAGGACGCGTCGGGGCACCGCACCACGGCGCCACCGCCGCCGCCGCCGCACTCGAGCTTGGCGCGGACGTGGCCGGACAGGCACGCGGGGCAGAATGCGTGCGCGCAGGCGGCGCCGCCGCGGTGCGCCGCGGTGGGCGCCATGGGCTCCATGCAGATGCTGCAGGGGTGGTGTTGCTGCGCCCCGTCGGCTCCCGCCATTCTGCCGTACGTGGGCGGCGCAGGGAAAGGAGGGGAGGGGAGGGGAGGCGAGAGGTCCCGCGAGCCGGTGCGTCGAACCGGCGGGAATCCCTCCGGCTCACCGGCTTCCTTTCGCGAGAAAAATGACGAGAAGAATCTTTGCCGGCAACTTCTTTGTATGGCACGATGCTTCGTGCCTACGGCTCACTCAAAAGTTGAAACGCACTCTGGTACCAAGACATTTTACTTTTTTTTTTCTAAGCCATTCCGTGTGCCTCCTTTTTGCCGTTTAACAGCCCTAACGTGATCCAATCAGAGAAAACGTCTCAGAGAAAACGTCTAAGCGCGTGTTTAGTTCCAGTAATTTAGAATTTAGTGTTACGGTAGCACGTTCGTTTTTATTTGGCAATTAGTGTTCAAACATGGACTAATTAGGCTTAAAACGTTTGTCTCGCAATTTCCCACCAAACTGTGTAATTAGTTTTTTTTCGTCTATATTTAATGCTCCATGTATAGGTCGCAAACATTCGATATAACAGGTACTATAGCACTTTTTGAAATTTGGGATGAACTAAACAAGGGCTAAAATGCCCTGGTCTCTGCTATGTCTTCTCTCTCCTGTGGCCGGCGAGCACTGCAGCACGAGGTCTCTCTTCTCTCTCATGTGTCATGGACGCCAAACATTTGTCAGAGCTAATCGAAGTAAATGCAGGCTTATTAATAATCACCGGCACCAGGTACGGTAGTAGCTGGTAGCAGACACGCGCACGGCGCACCTGCTGGTAGGCGTAGGCGTAGGCGTAGGCGAGCGCCCGCTCCTGGCGTCCTCCAGGCTGCGGCTACTGCTGTCCCAGGGGCCGGAAGGGCTCCTCCCGCCGCCGTTATCCTCGCCTCTTCCGAACCTGCCTCTGCTTCTGCTTCTCTGCCGCAGCAGCAGGTCTGCCACCTCGCCGTCGTCACTGAAGTCGTGGTCGCCCTGCAATGCCAGCTCGACGCATGGTGGACGCCCCGCTGCTCCTAGCACGGTGGAGCGGCTGGCTGGCGGTGTCGGCGGCGGGAGGAGGAGGAGCGGGTGTTCGGTGATGAAATCTTCTCTACTCTTTGTCGACGACGAAGTCAGTAACTAAAGGTACTACGACTGCCACCGGCCGCACCGCGCCCACGCACGCCCCGTCCCGGCCGCGCGCCCACGCGCCCTGCCGCCGGCGAGCAAAGCTCGCAGCGAACGCTCGCGAGCTCCGCGACCTCCTCGCCGTCGCCGCGCTTCCCTTCGCCAAGCAGGAGGCAGCGTGCCAGCGTCTGGGGAAGCCACCGGCCGCCCGCCGGGATCTAGGCTGGGAGAGCCGTCGTGCCCTCCGGCCTCCGCCGAGCGCCGCACGGCGCGCTGCCCGAGCCCGCGGGCGTTCGCTGGAGGCCGAGCCCGCGAGCGCAGCACGGCCACGGTGGAGACGGCCGCGGCTGCGGAGGGCGCTCGCAGCGCAGGCGCGGAACTCCGGGTTACGGCGCGCGGTCCGCCGGCGGCTCGGGACAGGGTGGCGCGGCTCAACGCCAGTGAGGCGGTAATGGAGGCGGCGAGGTGGAGGACGCGCAGTCCTGCTGCTTCCAGAGCTCCCCGTCAGGCCTCGCCGTCGCCACCGCGAGCGAGCCCACCGCCGGAGTGGAGCTAGTTGGAACACGACGACGGGGACACGGGGGTATTTTGGATTTTTTTCACGTTGTTTGACAGCGTTTGGACGGAATGGTTTAGGAGAAAAAAAAAAGTAAAATATCATGTCACCAGAATACGTTTAAATTTTTTAGTGGCACGTAGAGCTGCTTTCGTAATGGCAAACAGGAAAAGGCTCTTCTTTTGCAGGATCGGATGCGGGTCGATCAGTTTGGGTTCTCTGGTGTTTAGTTGGGATTTAAGGCGGCGTTTCCGTCTTTTCCTGAGGTGCAAAAGGCTTCAGGGAAGGAGCGAGAAGTGCAAAAGGCTGCAGGTCGTGGAAGTCTACCCACTCTTTACGAAAGACTAATCTTTATCTGCCCTTTGGAATACTCCCAATTTTTTTTATATGATAGATAGAATCTTTGATGGCTTAAACCGCGTCGCGGTAACGAAAAAATATTGGGCCACGTCATCACGATGTGATCTGACAAACCTGAACCGTTGGATGGCAATCCATCGGCATGAATGATGCTAGCTAACTGCTGGGTGTCTTTGGAACTTCTGACAAAGTGACAGTACAGATAACTCTAGAAATTTACCGTACATGCTCTCTGAGCTAGGGCTTGTTTAGACGAAAATTTTTTTTGCAAAATGAGTACGGTAGCGTTTTCATTGTTATTTGACAAATAGTGTCCAATCATAGTCTAATTATGCTTAAAAGATTCGTCTCGTGGATTTCGTCCAAATTGTGTAATTAGTTTTATTTTTTATTTATATTTAATGCTTCATGCATGCGTCCAAAGATTTGATGTCACGGGGAATGTGAAAAATTTTGTAAAATTTTTTGCAAACTAAACTAGACCCTACTGCGTTTCTCCGGCTTCTTCTTAAAAAAATATTACGAGACCTAAAATTCTCGCTTCATTAAAATATGGTCCAACTACTCAAACTAGCCCAAAACGGCAAGTCGCGCACTGTTCAGTCTTGTACGTTCGTTTGGATTTATCAGCATGCCTTATCTATCAGCATGGCTTATCAGGCCCCGTTTAGTTCCCTAAAAACCAAAAATTTTTGCGCAGTAAATGTCACATCGAATCTTTCGGCACATGCATGGAGTACTAAATATAGACGAAAAAAAAGATAATTACACAGTTGGGTGAGAAATCGCGAGACAAAACTTTCGAACATAATTAGTCCATAATTAGACACTAATTATCAAATACAAACGAAGTGCTACAGTACCCAAAACCCAAAATTTTTCGGATCTAAACGCGCCCTTAGTCATTGTATAGTATTTTTTTCATAATAAATTAATAAATAGTACTTTTCAACGTACTTTTCAGCGAAACAAACAGGGTCTCAAATTTAACGCCGTTGGAGAGTATGCACAACGAGAAATCCCACTGGATATCATTATTTATGCTAAGGTTCTTGACATGACCAGACTTAGGGTAAGTATATTGTTGCACATAAATGGTCTCATGTAGTGCTATATATGTAGGATTTTTTCTGATGTGGAGGAAAAAAGAGATGGAGAATTGGAGAGAGAAAGATGCCTTTTTAGCGAAATAATTATCTCATGTACTTTTTTTTCTCAATCACGCAAAAAGTTTATGCGTCTTTGTGTTAAAGTAGAGAAAATATTTAATACAGCACGCCTTAGCGGCACTCTAAGGGGTCAGAAATCCCATCTCATGAACTAAAATTGTTGTCGCCGTGCAACTAACTTTACTTTTATTATGCATAAATTAAAGCATTATGAGTTACTATCAAACAAACATTGTACATGTTGTCTATTACGTCGTCTTACAATTACGTGACACTATATGAGAGCGTCTACGAGACAACACCAATGTATTTGCCCTTAGTCTAATTTATAGTCATGTCGGTGTTTCGAGTAAGCACCGGCTAGTAAATTTGTATTAACCCGGATGGTGTGCTAAGATGACACAAGGATTATACTGGTTCGGATCGAATGTCCCAACATCCAATTTCGAGCTGCTCGTGTTACTAGCACTGAGTTTGCAGTAGGGGGTTATAACCTGGTGAGAGAGGGAGGTAGCTCCCAAGTCTCGGGTGTGATGCGGTGTGTTTGTTCGATGAATCACCGTCCCTTTAGTGGGACGCCCTGCTTTCCCTTTTATAGGTCAAGGGAAAGCAGGGGTTACAGGCGAAGGGAAGAGGAAAAAAGGAAAGAGAAATAAGGCTCCCAGAGGTGCACCGTTCTCCTCTTCGCGTGAGTCCCGCTGACTCTGTAGATCGTGGTGGCAGCGACGTCGTACCGGGGTCCTGTTGGCCGCTGCAGCTTACGTGTGGGCGTCATGCGCCATTCTTGTCTTCCGTTCCATCCGAGCGGATGAAATGGTAAGAGGGTCCTCTGACAGAAGCCATGCGGCGGGCTAGCGGTATAGTGCCAGTCAACGGACGCCGGTTGACTAACGTTGGATGGTGGTCAAGCAGGGAGTTGGTAGCACAGTGTTGGCCTATTGATGTGATGGGCAACGTGAATTTCCCAGCATGGCCCGATGCGACCGCTAGTCGCATCAGGACACGTCCGAGACGTGCTCCTAGGTGTGCGCTTCCATGCTGTAGTGGTTGAAGCGGTTCGAGCCCTACCCTGGGACCACTACTTTGGTCCGGTAGCAGATCCGATCCCTAAGGATCAGGCGAGGCGTAAATCTCTCCCTGGGAGCCGGGCAAGACAGAATCCGACCCACAGGGGTCGGACGAGGCGGGGCCCTCCCTGTGGGACCGGACGAGGCGTGTCCCGGCCCCTAGGGTCGGACGATGCGGAAACCTCGTCCTCAGCATCGGACGAGGCGAGGCCCGGCCCCTGGGGGTCGAACGAGGTGGAAACCTCATCCTCGGCATTGGACGAGGCAGAAACTTCGCCCTCAGAGTCGGACGAGGCCGTAGTTGCATCTTTAACCATCGGATGAGGTGACGTGACGCTCTTTAATCCTTTGGCTCGGATATCTGGGTATAGATATCTGACAGTAGCCCCCGAGCCTTCGGAGGAGTGAGACACTCCTGCAAAGGCTTTTTTTCATGATTTGTTGCTCCTGTGGCCATTATGCCATGGAGGCGGGTCGTTATTGGAACTTCGGCGTTATTCCCCTCAGTTTGTTAATCCACATAGGGTAACCGAGTAGGATTTAGATACCAAGCCTCTATGTGGGAGATTGGCAAAAGTAGACACGGGCACCCAGCCCCTAGGGGGGACACGCGCTGGTAATCCATTTTCCACTGGGTGCGCGCGAGCGTACCTGGTGGGTGTAGCCCTGAGCCTCTGGAGGAGTGAGACACTCCTGCAAAGTCTTTTTGTGGTCCGTTGCTTGAGGGCACACGGGAGTACTGTTTGTTTTTGTCGTTT